AAACGAACCCAAATGTACATCACTGAGCGGTTCAGCTTCCCGGTCAGACGCATCGCAAACAGTACGCTTTCTAGGTTCAGCTGGTCGCCTTTCATACACGTTTCAGGTTCGTTTTGAGACTAGAGTGAGATCAGCAACTGTGTCAAGTTGTCCGGTGGACCAATAATGCACACCGTGACCAACCTTTGGTGAAACGGGAGACGTCATCCCTCATGTGTAGGTCATGACTCCTGCACGCGCTCTTTTTTAGACCGATGCGCGAGCTCCCAGTGCTGTCTCCGTAGCATTCTATGTGATACCTTGGACGACAGGTGCATCTGTATTTCTTGTGGGGAGAGTCGCATGAAAAGTGACATTCGTCACCAAGCCAGTAGGATATGGGTAGTTTTCCTGCAATCCTTTTATCACTTGTTTGTCTTTTATAGTTTACCTTGCGTACCTTATTAGGTTGCGAATTTCCAGTCACTGCAGTGTCAGCCTTGCGGTGGTGAATTTCTGAACAATCATCTCCGGGTCTTGCTCATTTTGATTTAACTGCTGAGTCAGAATATCCGCATGGTGTGATGGTTAGTGGACAGTCACGAAAATGAGACATTAGGACTCATCCTGAGTAATTGTGCTGGATTTGGAGGGCGCATACTCTTGGTCTCACTGGTGAAATACTGGCTATCTCTCCTGGTAATCTTGAGAGACTGGTGGCGATAATTGATCAAGGAAGTTTGCTCACCGAATATTTTGGCCAGGATCTTGATATTCTCTGAAAAGCCAAAGTCACGAGGGGAGTTGGAGTGCACGAAATCTTTCTGCGTTAAGTTAACCTTCGGAGGATAAGACCAGAGAGCACCTTCTATGCCTCAGCTACCACGCTGATGCCACGGTGCTTTTCCCGCAGCGTCCGTGTAACCTTTTTGAAGTTAGGAATAACTTTATATATGCCCCACTCTGCAAGCATATCGCGCCAGTAAGCTTTGTTAGATGGGTCACCAGGGGTTCCCTGGCTTCATTGTTGTTGTTGTTGTTGGGCTAGCTGGATCGATACTGTTGAGCTATGTGCGTTCTTGGAATGTGGTGGATAGGTGTGCTTCTTGCTGGTTTTTGAGGGTCTGAGGGAAACTAACTGTCAGGCGTGCGTGCACCATGGCGTGATCGGAATCAAGTGGTGTGCCCAAGAAGGAACGGCAGTCTTGAATTGTGGCTGTCCACCGGTGGCTGATGGCCGCGTAATCCAACTTGGTCCATGGTTGATTTCCAGTTGGTGGCCACCAGGTTATGCGGTTCGAACGTTTATGTTGAAAGTTCGTACTTGCCGGAAACAGTTTAAGACCAGCACACAAGTGGAGAAATTGATCTCCGTTGTCTGTGCGGCAAACATCGACTCCGAATCGACCGCTTAAATATGATTCCAAGGGGCTCAGACGAACTAACTGAGCATTCAAATCGCCTGCAAGGACCACATTGTCAGTGATTCTTGCTTGACGACAGCCTGGATAACTCTCGATACAAAACATCACTCTCGGCATCAGAGCTGCAGTCCGTTGGGGCAAAAGCCTGCACTACAAATAGGTGCCGCTTTCGATGTCCAGAGGTATTGAGCTTGATTGAACTGGATAATCAGATGGCACAAAGATGACTGTTCACTGGAATCCAATCCAGCAAAGTGCGTTCAGCTCTGGGGCGGAGTTCAACTCCCGCGCCATATATTCCACGAGTTATTGCTTCTGGATCACCGGACACACGGAGGGAGGAATGTGAAAGAGCTGAGGTAATCGTTGGCGTTTTGAGATGTATAATCACGCTTGGGTCTTGTATTCGTTTTTTCAGAGGCACAGCATACATTATTTTTAGGGGGACATTGCCTGTTTGCCAGAGTACGGACGTTAAAAGTTCCCATCTGGAAAGGATTTCATGGATTTAGGTGTTATTCTTGTTTATTTTCAATAGGTAGTGGGATACATAAGGCTGATAACCCAGATAACTGACAGACAAATGATCTGGCAACGTTTGCTTGTGCGATGGGAAGGGGATGGGTAGGGACACCGGTGGACGCCGAACTGCTTGGACAAATGATAGTTCCAGGTTGCCCAGGCCGAGGAAGTGGGTTTGTTTGAAGTAGCCAACCTTGAGCCTTTGATTCAAAAGTCTGACCAACAAGGTAGTGGGTGGTCCTGCCCCCACTCTCGGTCTCAAGAGTCGGGATTGCGAGACAACGGTAAAAATGTTCTTTATAAAACCCTACCCGGAGCTGATGACTTAGTAGTCTAACCTGCTGGACGATAGGGTTTGGCCTAACCCGAGGGCTCAGGGAGTATGGCATTAAATCTCACTCCTGATGTGGCTATGCGCAGCAAGTGCCTGTTAAGCAGCCTCCGACTTTGATTTTAAAAGTATTCAGACCGTATTGAATAATGCACGGGCAGTCACGGGCAACCGTTTGGCGATCTTAGTGCGCAGTTTTTAGGGCTGACATATTATAACCCATTCTTCCTCGAGGGAGGGCAGCATCTTTGCTTCCATGAATATGAACATGCTGTTCGCTTGGGAGAAACACCTTACTGCCTTCACACTCCTGTCGCAGACGACAGTACGACTTTGCCCTTAAACCGCCTCATAATACAGGGTCTCGCTTTTCTTTTTCTGACTGATCCTTTTTGACCTCCGTTACATGATTGCACTATGTGAAACGAAGTTCCAGCCAGTGTAACCCGCGAGATCAGTGCAGCACACAAGCCCAACTACCACACCAAGGTGGTAGTTTTATGTCGGGTTCACTAAGATATCATGAAACCGGTAGCCTAATTGTGGTGTCGATAACTTAAGGACCTAATCCATCGCCATGATGAACTCTACTTGGGAGAGTGGATTTTCCTGCCTCACTCCTCTGTGGCAGTGTACTTCTAAATTTGGAAAACGTGCTGCAACGCCCTCATAGGATTGTGCAGTGTATCAAACTAGTGGGTGAAGGTCATCGAAACGCCTCAGCAGATCTGCCAGTTGTGCTATGTCAGACCGAATCTAGCTTTTTCCTGATGTCAACAAGCGCCAAACTAAGGTTAGAGGCAGTCGCTGAACAAATGAGGAATCAGAGCGGGTAGCGGCGGGGTAGCTTCCAACCAACCGTCTCGATGTAGAATTGCGAGCTGGAGTGAAGACCGCCGCAACCTGCTGTTCCAGAGATCGGCATGCACCTTACGAAAGCACCGAACAAAAGTGGATGACACGGGAACCGATCTGAATCGGTCCGGGTGGCGGTAGATTTTGGACTTTCGGAACCAGAATAGCACGGGCGCGACATATTCGGCGGGTAACTCCAGATACTAATAGCAAGTAGAAATACCCAGCAAGGGTGTTGGTATTGAACTGACGAATCACCCTGGGCGCGAGTCTGTCCAAACCTGGGGACTAACTACCAGTCAAGCGGATCGTACTGCGAACTTCCTTATGTGTAATTGACTCGAAAATCCATTTGGCAGTACTCGAGTCTGTCCAAACCTGGGGACTAACTACCAGTCAAGCGGATCGTACTGCGAACTTCCTTATGTGTAATTGACTCGAAAATCCATTCAGATGGCAGTACTGTATGACTTGGCCGGTTATCCACATGCTTTTGACAGATACCACCCGTTTCCAGTACTGTTTGAAGTCCAAAGATAGGTTGCATTTTCATTTGTATAGTTCTTTCTATGACCGATCAAGCACTGCAGACGCTGCATCTTTCCGCGTCTGGTGGTATAAGATCCGGTTGGTGGCCTGGCTGGCTCAGCGGATCTGTCTTAGGTTGAGCAGCACACAATGGGCTTGTTGACGATGGTGTGTGTGTGTTGAAATATGTTGGATGCGTAGAGGTGTAGAAGTGACTGGACTTGCTCCGGTATGATGGTGTCAGATTGCAACCCTCGGGTGACACCAGCGAGTGAGCTATCTGGATTAGACTCCAAAAGTGACACGGTGCAATCCACGGTTTGCTTGAATCAGGCGCCATACTCTTCAGAGTGTGATGAATGTGGAGCTGTTTGGACGATAATTTGATCAGAGTCACTGGATGACAATCTATCCAGATTTTCCTGTCAGCTAAGCACGCAGCACGAGTACTTTTTGGAATTCCTATCTGTTGGGGATACCGGCTTACGGATGTTGATTTATCTATAAAAAAGACTAGGGATTTACATATAACATGTCAGGTAATCGAAAACGAATACTATCAGCAGCAGTTATTTATCCCCCTATCCGTTGATTTTTTCCCGGTCCCACTTAACTGTC